CCTTGATCCACAGGCGTGACCTAAGATGTCTCTACCAAGTGTCTAACTAAATCCCTCCTACTTAGGCTTCTACAAGAGACACCTTGGGCCACGCTTGTAGCCCATGGGAAGAGGTGAGAGATAAACAGATAGACGAGGATGCAAGGTCACTGCACTCTGGTACCTCAAGACCCCAGTGTCCCTACCTTGCTCAGTGCCCACTTGAAGCCATTTGGGCCTTGCCTCTCAGTGAATTTCCTCTCTAACCCTCTAGATCTCCTCAAAAACTTGCTCTGGTTGACTCCCCGTGGTCTTAGTTTGCCCTTTGAAGCCATTTCTAGACATTGACTTTGCCCATGCAGAAGCCAGGAGCTTCCTGCAGCACGGATAGGCTCAGTATTCCAGTCCCATTAGGGTTTGTTAGCTCCCGCTCCTACCCTCTGCTCCTGCTTGTTGAAGCTGCAGCTGGGAGGCACCTGGTTCTCAAGATTCCCTGGGCCTGGTGAGGGAAAGGGGTGCAACAGCCTCCACAAGGAAGTCTGAATGCAGGAGAGAGGTTCCCTCCCACAAAGGTTCCAGAACATTCTCTGAGGGGAGCTTTGCCCAGAAAGTGCCTTGAAGAGCAGGACTGTTGTTGTGTCCCAAGCTATGTGGTGAGGACCTCATTTGTCAACAACTGTAAGGCTCTCTGGCCCGTGACAGCAGTCAGGGTGGAGCACAGTGACCCCAAGACCCAGAGGCCAACAGCATCCCTGAGCTGGAGAGGGAGAAGAGCCATCTGGTTCTGTTAGTGCTTTCGGTTTCCTACTCTTGCGCTGACAGAACATCCAGAAGCTTGGTATGCTCAGTGCTGGGAGGCCTGACCCAGCTGCGGCTGTGCAACCTTCCGGGTTGCTTCTTGCTCACCCTGTCCACACTGTCCCTCCCGGATTCTTCCCTCACAACGTGGAGCCCTTGTCAGGAGGATTGCTCAACCCTGGCTGTCCTGGTCTGGCCTGCCCACCTCTAGTCTGTTGGGTACAGGTGGCAGACAAGCCGCAGTGTTAGCCACCCAATTTGTTCTTCCCCCTTCCTTTATTTTTTTTATATTTAAAAATAGTATTTATTGGGTCATTAAGATGCCTTTAGGATAAAGGCATTTGCTGTCACACTTAAGTTTGAGCCGGGTGTCGGTGGCGCACGCCTTTAGTCCCAGCACTCAGGAGGCAGAGGCAGGCCGATCTCTGTGAGTTAGAGGCCAGCCTGGTGTATAGAGTGAGTTCCAGGACAGGCTCCAAAGCTACAGAGAAACCCCGTCTCGAAAAACAATAACAACAAAAACAAAAAACAAACAAACAAACAAACAAACAAAAAAACCACTCTGAGTTTGAGCTCCAGAGCCCCCATGATGGAAGGAAAGAACCAAGTCCTGCAAGTTGTCCCCTTCCCCCGCCAAACACTCTGTAATGCACAGAGGCCCTCACACACACCATAAACAAACAAGCAAGTATGCAAGTACAGGTTTATCAAGCTGGGCTCGGTGGAACACACTATGGAGGTAGAGACAGAAGGGTCTCATGTTCAAAGCCAACCTGTGCTTTACACAGCAGTAAGTCCTTGTCTGGAAAACAGCCAGGCATAGCAGTGAATGAGTGTAATCCCAAAGCTAGTAGGCAGAGAGCCAGGGGGCTCTCACTCGAAAACCGTGTTTTAAACTTTAGACTAGGATCACAAAAATAACGCTGAATTCCTGTCTGCTGTTGGACCACTTTCCCACAGCACAATGATCAAAACTGAGAAATTAATACTGGTGGAGCGCTATTTACTAGAAAGAAATTTTACCAGTTCTACTTTTCCCATTGACACCCTTCTCCATTTCCAGATCCAGTTCTATTATATGAGGTTTTTACACAAATCTATATCTTGCTGTGCATGCTATTTTGTAACCAGCTCTGCTCGCTTGATAACGCACCACAAACATTTCTCCAATTGCAATTATAATTCGATTCTTTTTTTATTGGCTGAGATGGAGCACAGGACTTCCATCACTGAGCTACACCTCTCCTCCTTGATGTTTTGAGCTGGGATCTCATTCTTGTGGCCCAGGCTACCTCAAATTCACGATCCTCTTGCTTTTGCCTCTGGAATAATGTAAGTACAGGCACCCACTACCTGCCTGATATCATTTTTAATGGTAGCAGAGCTTTTCATTGTGTGGATTTGCCATAATTTGCCAAACCAGGGACGTGTTTTTTTCCCCTGCTATGAAGAATAATGAGACGCATGCTTCTGAAACATGTGTCTCTGGCTATTCTGGAATAGAATCGCTGCGTCCAGGGGACCTATTCTTTTTTCCAATTTGCCAGCATGTATTTGACCCTGTTGCTGGTCCTTCTTATTTCAAGAGCCCGCTGGCTCTTACTGCCCAGGCAGGCAGGAGAAACAGAAAGGATGTGGAAGTGGCCACAGCCTTTGGATTGTGCAGATGGGAGAAGACATCAAAAGAGCTATGGTCCTTCCTGGCTTCTCAGCCTTCTGCAAAGCCCAGCACTCTCAGCTAGGTATCTTCTCTCCCTAGAAAGGAGGCTGCTTGCTCTGAGCCCAAGGATAATGGGGAGAAGAAGAGGAGGGGGTGGGGCAGGATCTGCTAATGCATTTTGCCAGCATCTTCGGTTTCTCCAATATCCAGCCAGACTATTAGCGGTTCCCCAAGGATGGCCTTATTCCTCACATCATCCCCCATTTCCTATAAATGGGAAGTGGCTAGGGAGCAGGGTTTTAGTATGTGTGTGCACATGTGAACAACGGGGGGGGGGGGGGGGGGGGGGGGAGAGGAAGGGAAGGGTCACAATGGTTTTCCTACTTAGTGGAGAACTGAGACCCAGAGAAGTTGTTGGTGCAGAAGGCCACAGCATGGTGGGGAGGAACAGAGGTGTGAAGAATTCCTCTGAGCTCTGAAGTTACAGTCAGGGCTAGATGACAGACTTCTGCTTCGGCCTTGTGAGTTAGTCTCCCGCAGCCGGAGACTGTGATTGGGGAGTTGGGGTAAAGGAATTAAACTGAGAAGCCGCCTTCAGTGTCTAAGTAATATTCGTGGCCTGGGTTGTCCTAAGCGTTTAGAAACAGTTCCTGGCACACCGGTTAACTCGTATTAATATGACAGGAGGCGGTAGAAGGAGGAAGGGACTTTAAAGCAGGATGGCCTAAGGCACTAAACGTATCCCTGTGGCTTGGGAAGGAAGGGCCTTTGTTAGGAACAGGGTCTCAGGCAGGCTGCTGGGGAATCTCATACCAAGCTACTCCCCCACTTTCTGGAGCCCTAACTCTCTTCCCTCTAGCGAGTAATGAAGCAGAGACAAGAGAAAGGACCCCCAATCCTCTGAGGTGGACAATACTCTTGCTCCCACTGTTCTTTCCCAAGCCTGGAAAATACCACTCTCCTGTCTTTCCGGGCACTGTAATTTTCCACCTGACTTGGCATTCCCCTTGACTCTAGCCCTTTTTCCTGGGACAAAGGGAATACTGGCTCAGGGACCCAGGACTCCACCCTGAGCTCTCTGCTAGCCATGTATAAGTATGCCAAAAATGTCGGAAAGCCAGGGTCCCAGCTAGGGATGGAGGTTCATGTGCTCCCAGGATGCCATGCCCAGATGGGTTTCAAGTTGAACTCAAATGACTCAGAATGCAGGCTCTTGACACGTTCGTCCTCGGCTTGTGCCTGTATACACACTGTCTTCCCTAGTGCCACTTCTGCACTTGGCATCTCCCTTTCTATTCTGTCCCCATGCTCCCACCTGGGGGTGCCTCTAGAGCTCGGCTGGCTAGCTGCCGGTTCTAACAGAACCCAGAACATGAAAAGGACATGCCCCAAGGTGTGCCGCTGGTTAACACCGGGCTAGCATTGCAATCCTGCACCACAGTGGCCTACCTAAGGCCAACGGCGTCCTTCCCATCAAAAGCTTCTCCTGGGACTTTGTTGTGCAGATGGTTCCAAGACCCTATGGAAACCCGATCCATCCCAAGGCCTCTCTGGTGTAGCATGGTGTCATATTTGAACACAAACCTACACACATCTTCTGTGGACTTCATCTCACCGAGAGATTACACACACTTAATATGATGCAAAAGCTCACACAGGTAAGAACTTGTTATGTATATCTGGCTCAGAGAATACTGACAAGAAAAAAGGAGTGTTCATATTCACACGGAGACCATTGAACTAATCCTCAGCCTACCACACAACACATCAATGTGACACTTTTCTCTGATATTTTGATTAGTTGAGTCTCGTGCACCACAAAAAGCCGCAGAAATCCCTCGCCTGTGGTATTGAAGTCAACAAGTCGCCTAAGTGAATTTCCCTTCTCCTTATAAAATTCCATGGATGAAAGAAAGGCAATAAAGCCCCCAACCTCCACCCTGAGGTCAGCCCAGGACTGCCGCGATCTGCCTCCCACCTGGTTTCCCGCTAGTCAAGACGTTTTGGAAACCTTGACTGGGAACATTTTGGTGGCAATTTATCACCTCTCCTTCCGCATACACACCCACAGTAGAAAAGAAAAGAAAAGAAAAAAAAAAAAATAAAAATGGGAGTTTGTCTTTGAGTTGTAGAAAGAAGCACTGAGTTAGCTTTCTGAGACCAGGGAGAGTAACTCGCGGAATGTGACAGACCCTTTCAAGGCATGGTCCAAGGCCGGTGGGGTGCAGCTGTGCCTGGACAGCAGGATATCCAGCACAGCACGCGCGGGTAATGGTCGCAGACTGGCTCGGGAGCAGAGGGGAGGTACCCCGTGGAGCCGGGTAGTTTTTACCTAAATGTTTTGTTGGCGCGCGGCAGAGGGGGCGGTGCACGGCCCTAGGTAATGACAGGGCAGTCTAGGAGCCACGCGGGGGCTGCCCGTCCGGCCGCGGCCAGAAAGGAGACTGCTTTTCCACCTCCCGCTTTCTTCCCTTGGGGACCGGCCCCACCCCTCCATCCCCTCCCAGCACCCCCCCACCTCCGTCCCGCCTCGCCCCGCCCCCCTCCTGGCAGCCCCAGCGCGCATGCTCTCTCTCCCCCACCGAGTAACCTGGAGATTTAAAAGCCGCCCGCTGGCGCGCGTAGGGGAAGCAGGGGTCCGAGCTTGCACGCGCCAGCCCCAGGTGACAGCCGCGCGCCCCGCCAGGTAGGGGAGGGGGCTGGCCCGGTGGGAAAGGAGTGCACGGGTGGCCCCGCTCGGCCGTGGCGCTGTGCGCCCAGCGGGATGGGGCCGCGCCGTAGCGTCCCGGCCCTGCGCGAGAGGAGGCTCGTGGGGAGGGCGCGGCCCCTGGCGGCCCGGTGCCCAGGGCGGGCACCCCGCTCGCGTCCGCGCCGAGTGCGCTTCCTCCGGGAGTGCTGAGCGGCGGCGCCCGCTGTCCAGGGCCGCGCACGGAGGGAGGGCGGGATCGGAGCCGGGGAGTCCCGGGCCAGGCCGGCGGAGGGCCGGCCGCCCCTGCTGCAGCCTCCCGCTGCAGAGTTTTCTTTGCAAAGTTGCGTTTGTTTCTTCCCCTGTGTGAGCTTCGCCCGAAAGGGGCAGATGAGTCACCGCCCCGGCGCCCACAGTGCGCACTTAGGGGAGTCGGACAAGGGGCCTCCTCCAGCTGGGCGCCGTGGTCGGGGACAGAAGAGGAACCTAACTTTCTTGGCCGCAGTATTGGGGCAAGGCTTTGGTGGAGTTGAGGCTAGCTTAGGGGCGAGTGTATGTGTACGCGCGCGACCCTGTGCCCCCCCCCCCCTTCTCTGCCTCCTTTACCCTCCCGAGGACGGAAAAGCAGCGCTGGCTCTTGTGTCCCGAGGCTCAGGTGGAGGTGGGGAGTACTCTGCGGTTCTAGAAGGCGCTAGGTGTTCGGTAGCGCGCCTGGTGGAGAAAGCCCAGGAGCCTGCAGGCTCAACCCATCCCTGGTCTCCGCTCCCCTCCAGGGAGCCCTGTGACGCCTCTTTCCCTTAACCTCCACTCGGCCCCCTCCTTCATGACACGCACTTGACTCGTCCAAGGCCACGGGGTACCCGGTGCTCCCTCTTTCCCCACGACACTGAGTTGGAGGTAGGAGGAGTTTGGTCCGGTGGGTACTTGGAGAGAACTTGATGTTCAGCAGTGGCAGACCCTATTCCAGCTAAGCCGAACTTTGTAGCCCAGTTAGGGCCTTGCAGCCGGGCATGGTGTAGACACGGGGCACAGAATGACTCTTGCTGGGCTCTGGAAACTAATTCACGCAGGAGTGAGGGTGAGTGAGTTTCTGACCTCTTGGTTCCTAATCATGAAGCACAGTCCCTTTCCCAGAGGGCAGCTTCCGTGTGGGCCCACGTGCCTGAGGCGTAGGGAACAGGGTGACTTATGGAGCTGGGGACCCACGAGCTGTGTATGCTGGACTGGAAGCCTCTCAAGCTCGCAGAACACCACTTACTCCTAGGGAGTAAGTGGGACATGATTTGAAGCCTCCGGCCATTCTGTTGGATCCCCTTAGGCCCCTCATTCCTCCCTTATCTCCCTCCAGCCCCAGCTCCAGGGCTGTCCTGGAAACAAGACTCACTGGATGAGTCTGAAGATAACAGTAAGGCCGTGGACAAACAGGTCCCAGTTGGGGTCTTTGCCAAGGAGAGCTTCCCTCTGCACTTTCGGTGTGGAGGGTGAAATCCACTGTTCCTCCCATTTCTCGGAGTAACCCTGAAGGAGCAGGAGGAGGAACTGGGCAAGGTCCCCCGGGTGGTCTACTGTGCCTGCAGGTTACTGGGTTGTGAGATGTGCACTTGTCCGGAGCTGGAACTGGGCCTAGGCAGAGCCCCGGGACAGACAGTCAGGAAGGTGGGGAGGAATGTAATACTGGAAAACTGATTTCAGGTAGGAACGTTGGACCCTTTAGCACTTCAGGGGTGAGAACACAGACTGCCAGGAAGCCGGCTTTTCTGGCGCCTCTTTTGCACCTGTAGCCTGCAAGCCATGCTAACTTCCCAACCTTGCTGCAAAATGTGGACGATGACGATATGTACATCTTTGTTGTCCATGTTGACTACAAAAGGCAAACAGCACTAACAAAGAGATACAGTCTAAACATATAACTCCATCAAATAACGAACACATATAGAGTTTAACTGTGTGTTTTTTAACCTATCTAGCCTGATGGCCTACACCTGTAACCTCAGCACCCTTGGGAGGCAGAAGCTAGAGGATTAGGAGCTCACGGCCAGTCTTGTCTACATAATGAGTTCCAGACCAGCCTGGGTTATGTGAGAGTCTGTCTAAAACAACAACAAACAAAACCCACGTTGTTACATGTCTGAAGTGGAGTAAATGCTTAATAAATGTTAGTCTTAATGGTTACGGTTATCTGTGTCTGGATGGTCTGCAGCAGCTGGTTTTGAGACTCTGAGGCCCTGCTGTTTTTGTGTGTGTGTGTGTGTGTGTGTGTGTGTGTGTGTGTGTCTGTGTAGCTTAGGCTGCTCTTGAACTCACAACTGCCTTGAGTGCTCTAGTGGTGGGATTATAGGTGTATACCAGCATGCCCGGCATGAGTCCTGCTCTTATTTATTTATTTATTAAAGAATCTGTTTTAGACTTCTTTGGGGACAAGATCTCTTGGGGCTTTGAGAAGTTTCTTCATGTCTTTAAGAGTCTTCTTGGCTCTAGCAAGTGGACCGAATCCCATTTCCTCCGAAGTGAGGTATTAGCCTCTTCATTGTGCTTTCTTCTCTGTAAACCAAGCACACTAGGACTCCAGGACCCTCCAGAACCTGGGGATTAAGGAGAGGCTGCAGGTAAACCTCTGAGCAGAGGGACTGCTCATGGAGAACCTGGTAAGTGTCAGCCGCTGCTGTTTGGTGGCCGTGTGGAGGCAGTCATTGTGGATTAACTTAGAAATGGGCTCCTTAGCCAGGGACCGTCACCACATACAACCATAGGAAGCCATGAGCAACACACTTGCAATTTGCATCCAGAGCAAAGAACAAACCAAGACAGGGTGGGCATCTTGATCTATTCCCCTGTCTGTCCTTCCTGACTAGTGCCTTCCTCCCAAGAGTGTCCTCACAGGCTGGAGCAGGGTACTTTGGGTAAAGGAGTGAAGGTTAAGAGTCTTCTATGTAGACAGGTATTTTAGGAAGACCGTGGAGAGGGTGCCCTGAAGTGAGGACTCCTATCTGTCTTCTCTTTCCAGCTATCGGGGGTCTTTCACGATAATTCTTTGGTATCCGTGAGGAGAGCCCAGCAGCCAAGCTCTCTAGGCTTGCACTCTGTCACCGAGTTAGATCCACAGCCCTCCCAGCCCAACTTCCTTTTAAAAGCCAGTGGCCCTGTTTGCTGGATTGTGTGTGTGGCTGCTGGACCAGTTGGTACCAGGCCCAGCGTCTCCAATGCTGATGCCACTTGACTCCCAGCAACAGAGCTGGAGTGCTGAGAGCTTTGTCTAGTGTATTGAGTTTGCCTGGGGGGGGGGGCAGGGGTAGTCAGTGACAGCCACATCAGTGCCCTGATCTTTGGCCAGAATTACCTGTTTGATCCCATTTTCTGTTATGAGGTCTGTGTTTCCTCCTCCCCTGAGGGCCTGGGGTGGGGAGCCTCTCTAATTCTGAGGTTGGAGATGTCCTCCTGCCTATACCGTTGACTTGATTTTTCTGTAAGTGGAGGTTCTAGTCACCCTGCAGGGCTGTGGTGGGAATTAGATGTGATGCATATGCCAGCAAAATCTGCATATACTCAAAAAAACGTCTTCTCTCCTCCCCCTAACTCTGGACATCACTTTCCCTGGGACAAGCCAGAATAAAGAAGGTAGGAAGCTTCTACTGGTTATCAGACCCAGGCCAGGCTAAATGCCCAGACAGATGGGATACCCTCAGGACTCAGGACCAGCCAGTTCCCCTCTGCCAGAGAGCTGTCAGCACCCCAAGTCTCTAATCACAAGTGTACTTTGAGCAAGGAAATAGTGTCCAAACCAGGAGTCCTTCATCACTATAGGGATGTAGCCATGTAGATCCTGATGCCGGAGGTCTGTGCACCCAGATACCTGGAAGTGACTCTGGCTGGTGGGGTGGGGTGGGGTGGGGTGGGGGGCTGGTCCAATCAGATGATCCCTGCCTTGGTCTGCTTTCTGGACCCATAGGGCCTGCTTCCAGCTGTCTGGACTCACAGGAAGGGTGCCATGGGATAGATAGGGCCACACCAGCGTCTGAAGGCCAAATGCAGAATCTGGCCTTGTCCCTTAGTTGTAGCAGAGTTTCGAGGGGGGGAGGGAGGGAAAGAACATCTTGGGGTCCTGGGAGCCCTGGAGGATTAGGTGTAGGACTTGAGCTAGAGAGGGTTCAGGCGAAGGGCAGAGGCTGTTTAGAAAGGGGAAGTAGCTGGAAGCCAAAACCAGCCAAGAGCCAGTGAGCCCAAGGAGGTGTGACCATTCCAGGGCACACCGTTCTGAGAGCCGGATCTGAGATCAGAACCCAGATGTGTGGCTTTGGTTCTCATGTTCTTTCCTGCATACCTCACTGGAGAGGGGCCAGTAGGAGGGGCGTGTGTTTGGAAATCCCAGGCTCTAGGGGCCCTGTGCCCTTTGTGCCTAGCACCTGATTACCTTTCATGACTCAGCCGCAGGCCCACTCCCTCCAGGAAGCCTTGACTTTGACACTACCACGCCCCCTACTTGCCGGCCTGTGTCTTAGCAATTATACCACCTTAACTGTACGTCATCGTATTTCTCTTGCTAAGCAGAGCTGTAATCAGTTACTTTCACTGCAGGGGGACGGTAAGTAACTGGCTCTGTGAGTGCTGCTGGGCACATTTTGGGGCTCTGAGACCAATCCTTCCTCCCTCCCTCCCTCCCTTCTTTCTGAGACAGGGTCTCTCTGTGTATAGCTCTGGCTGTCCTGGAACTCCATAGACCAGGCTGGCCTCGAACTCACAGAGATCTCCCTGTCTCTGCCTCCCGACTCCCGAGGGCTGGGATTAAAGGCATGGATCACCATCACACTCCTTGACATTTCTTTAGGGGTACTTAGGTTGCATGCTGAGGTATGCTTCCTCCACGAGTAGATAAACCAACTTCTTAATATTCCGTTTTGGGATTTGTTCTTAACCTTGTTCACCTGGGCCATCTGGGCTTGGGATCAAATAGAAGCTATCTGAGCTCTCCCCACTGAACTAGATCATTGGCCTGCTTTGTTTTT